AGCGGGGCCTGCTTGACGGAAGCGACGAGCATGTCGATCTTGCCCATCTCCTTGTGGGTCGACGTGTCGGACTCGGACTTGTAGTAGTGGAGGGCGTCGGTGCGCAGGATGCACCAGCGCCGCCGCCAGTCGCCCAGCACGTTCTTGCCCTGCTTCGTGAGGTGGCCCGCGATCAGGACCTGCTTCTTCACACGCCCGTCCCAGCTCCCTGCTCCCACACAGCCGCCACCGCCGATGAGACGGGGCTGACGATGACGCCCCGACCGAGAAGCAGGTTGGCTTGAGCTTTGAGGAGGGGATGGGGGGGGGTGGCGTGCCTGCTGGTAGTGGGCCAGGAGGGCACTGTGGGCGGCCTGGATGGCTTCCATCCACCCCTTCATGTCCGCCTCTGGTGGTGCACCCCGAGGTGGTGGTGGTGGGTGGTGGGTGGTGGGTGTGGTGGTGGGTGGTGGTGCTGGTGGGTGGTGCTGGTGGCAGAGGAGGGTGTCACCAAATTGAAGCAGAATATTTAGATTTTTTGGATAGATAACCAGATAAGGATGGATGGGCGTAGGTGAAGGACCACCATCACCAGAATTCGCAAGATCGCGGGAGGAAAGGGAGAGTAGTGGGTGGTTTGCGGTACCGTTGTCCGCGGTGACGCAGTAGGAGCGGTTGGACGTCACGATGGAGAAGCAGTGCTTCCGGTTGGGCACGGTGGAGACGGCTGCCGTGAGCAATCCGATCGACCCCTGCCCCCCCCCACACCAGCCCATGCGAAGCGCATCAGCATCACTGCCAGCAGCAGCAGCAGCAGCAGCAAGCAGGCAGGCACGTGTGTGCAACACCGTCGGATGGGCCATCGACAGCTCCTCGCAGAGGAAGGAAAGAGCAGAGAGCGGGGGAGGGAGAGGGGGAGGGCGGGGGGTATTAAACCTTGGGCTGGTCGTCCCCGTGGTGGGCGTAGTAGTCGAGTGTGCCGTACTCGGTATTGAGCACGAACCACCGCTGCGGACACACACACGACACACACACACACACACGACACGTTGTGTGTTTGTCGTGTGCCGTGTCGTGCCAGTCAGCAGCCAGCTCCTCCCAGAGAGCGTCCGGTGGGATGGGAGTGGGCGGGGAGGCGTACGGTGCGCCAGTCGCCGCGCAGGTTGTTGCCCAGCTTGCTGAGGTGGCCCTCGCGCTTGAAGCTCGCGTCGATGGCGAGCCGCTTGCGCCCCTCCGTGCCCGCATGTGGGTGCGGCCCCTTCTCGCTGTCGCCGCGGCTCGTGGCCGTCTGCCGCGTAGTCCGCCTCCTCCGCCCCGACCCCGACCCCTCGTCGCCCTTCTCCTCGTGGCCGTCGTCTGCGGGGTCTTCCGCCTCGCCGACGCGATGGCCGTTCCGCCGAGGCAGGAGAGCGCCCACGGTGGGCGGCGACGTGGCCAGGCGCGGTGGATGG